CGAGGAAAATACCCGAATGGATAGTACTCGTCCGTGAAAATTTTCTGTAAATAAGCGGGTTTGCAGTTAAAAAGAATTGTAAAATTGATTGATCTGCATTTAGGGAGTCTTTTCTGTTTTCTTTTTCAAATTTTACAGCTGGCTTTCACGCCTTTCATCTTAAAAAGTTGAAAATAATCTAATCTTTGAATATAAATTTTGAACTGGCACGAGAAAGAAAATTCAGTGGTGAACAGTAAAGACAGCTATCGGCCGGATATAGTTGACCCTTTGAAATTTGATGTTCTTAACGGCTAGCAAATTTGTTTTAAGAACAGCAAATTTCCTTGGGGAACTATCAGCCGATGGTTCCTCGACAGAAACACTATTGTTTTAGTAGAATTCTATATATATCTTTCAAATAACGATTTTCAATCAATTCTAAACAGGTTAACGTGGTATTCAACCTTATGCTTTAGCAAAATCGCGCGGATTCAATTGTTATTTGAAAATTGAAGTTGATCAGTTCCTTGAAAAAATTTGAGGCTTTTTAAAGTCGTATAAAGGTTTTCTTTCCTTTCCTTTCGTTGGTGTTCTTGAAATTGAATTACCCTTTAATAAATCTAAATCTTCCGAGAAACATCAGAAAACCTATAAAACATTGTCATTGTGTGGACAATCTCCAGCCACTGCTCTCTAATTAATGCCGAGGGCCGAATCAACTATCGCCTTATAGAAATCGAGAGCGAATAATCTAATTATTTAATAGAATTCTAACTGAAATTTTCCTCAAATAACGATTCAATCATTTCTGGTCTTAGTATTAAACTTCAAGTTGCTAAGTTTCTAAAAATGTTGCTTAAGGTCATTCCACTGAAATAGAACCTGCACTGAGATTTTTGTAAAACTTTGCCTATTGATTGTTTATATTATAGAAACTTAAATTTTGAAATAAAAATGAGGGGTCCCCATGTTCATTTAGGAGCAACAGGACCTTGTTTGTACCCATATAAATCCTTATAACAGCACTATGATTGTAGTCACGATTGCTTGCTAAATTCACGTTTCCGACGATTGCTTTTTGTTCTAAACTGAGAATTGGTCCATATTTATTTTACACAGAAAAATTTATTGCTCAATTCAAAACAACAGAAAAAAATGATAGGTCATCATACTTGTTTGCGAGAAAATGACGATTTACCTCTATGGCGAGGTCCAGCAGTAAAGAAAAAGCCGCCATTTTTAATGTACGCGCGCTAATCACGCGTGAAATTATGCGCAGTAGGGATGCGCAATGCAATACTGGGGAATGACCTTAAGTTGCTAAAAATGTTGCTCTATGGCCCTCCCCCCACCCTTGCCCCCCTTTAAATCAACACAGGAGGTGTTATGATATGCGGTAAACAAACTAGAGCACCCTTCTTTCTTTTTCGTTGTTTTGTTCTGTTTTTTGTTGCCCATATTAAGAGTATTAAGGAATAAGTGAAATAATACAATACAGTTAGAGAAGTCATATATTCAAAATGCGGTTTAAGTTGATGATAAGTACCGTTGTCGGCTAAAATGCAAGAATTTAGATAAGTATCATAATTTGTAAGTGTTAACACCGTTTATTTGTATTGTTTAGTAGGGCAACTGTATTGTAATTAGTGTGAGTTTAGGTTATTGTAATTCAATCATTGTAAGTAGTCTTAGTTTTTTTTCTTCTGTTAAGTGTATCTTTGTATGTTGTTACCATTTCAATAAAATAAAAAATAATAAATGAATAAATAAATAAACAAACCTTCAAGCTTTAGAGAATTCGCGCGGACCGAATTAATTGTCAATTTGACATTTGCAGTTGTGTAGGCGCGCTTATCAGTTTCTTTCAAAAATTTCGAGCTCTTTTAATTCAAGAAACCGTAAATGCCCATCTCTTAGTCTTCATAGGAATTTTGTTTATCCATTTGTTTGTAAAGGTTCTTTCAAAACTTCGGAGAAACGAGGAAACGTTGCAATTTTGTCGACTAAACCAAGCTACTGCACACTAGTGGCTGATAGTGTGCAATGGCTCAGCCAATCAGATTACAGCATTTGCATTATTACATTAGTAGAATTCTACTAATGGCTGATAGTGTAAGAGTAGCTCAGTCGATCAGATTGCAGTATTTGCATTAGCGTACAAGTATAATTCTACGAATTAAGAAAATGGGCGTCCGCTCGTAATCTATCACTATGTTGAATGCGCAAAATGGTTATTACATCTATCCTCCAAACGGGTGAGGAAGGGCCCGGGAATGCGTGAACTTGCGAGTAGAATTCGCTGAAGAGCTCGAACTTGACTCTAGAATATTGTCTCGTGGCAATCATTTGTTTATAATTATTAACGTTTTGTTAAGTTTACCTGCAGAAAGACTTCAATACCTATTATAGAGTAGACTCTTTTTGTGGTGTAATGCAAGCGTAGAGATCGGTTTTACCCAACGAGTTGTAATTGTATGGTGTTGGGATTAGACTTAATTAATTTGAAGTACATTCAGCTGTCTGAGGAGAAATTTTTAAAAATTGTTTCTGGAAGCTCTGATTGCATTGTTAATCCTAACAAGGAAACAACGCTCATGACGTCACTCAGTGATTGATGTCAGCATAACCTCAGCTTGATGTGAATAAGGCCAGGCCTAATAACACTTGGGCGTGTGATGTCTAGCGCTCATTGTGATGTGGCCATAAAAGATTCATATATAAACGGCACAATCCATCGGATCCATATTTATCGCATGTGACTGATCAGGACTTGTGCGCCGCGTGATTCAATATGTGATGCCGGGAAATTCCGAGATATAAACCAGCTAAGGTACCGTCCACACGTATCCGGATATTTTTGAATCCGCAAATTTTTCTTCCCGGATTCAAAAGCTTTCCTCGTCCACCCGTAGCGAAAATATCCGTATTCGCTACCGAATTCGCCGCATGAGTGTGAATGGAAGCCGTATCCGGAAAGAAAAAGTTGCGGATTCAAAAATATCCGGATACGTGTGGACTAGGCCTTAGTGATATACCAGAGTTTTCACTCGCTCTCCTGTTCTGTGTCCTCTAACATAAATTTCCAACCATAATACAACTATATGATTGTTGGGGCTAACAAGAAGAAAATCAATTTGAACAGCTTGACCGAACTCTGCTCTACAGAGTGACCGTGTTCGTGTAAAAAATATATTTGAGGGTTAATAAACGTAACTTCCTACATTAGCTTAAAAATATGAAAGGACTTTTGTCCTTAGTTATGATTTGTTCCTCGAATTTCAGATTTTCCCTTGAGATCCACTACCTAGGAAAAAAACAGAAACGTCTTCAGTCAAGTATTCGTGGATATTTTGCATCAAATTGAGGTAATTGTTTGTCTAGTTAGTAAATCGTGCAAATGCAGGGATAACAATTCCAAACGATATTCACTGGGTTTTTTCTTTCTGTCTTTTCCCCCTATTTTTCATAGTTATTTTTGTGGTGTCAGAAAACCTACGACAAAAAGTGTAAAATCATGATACCGGGGTTGTATAACTGAACGGTAAAAAGGTATTAGACGTAAGTTGACAAATTGTCCTTAAACTGAAAATCTAACGACAACAACAACAACAAAATTAACAAGGAAAACGAAACAGAAGTGCATCAGGACAATTCAAACAGTATGGTCATCGAAACGCCGAATCACGTGATCAAAAGCCTGACGACCAAATAATTCCCGGTAAAGATGAAGAAAAGTTGTAAGTTTGAAAGAAATTTCAACATTAGAGAAAGCCCGCGCCACTCTCTGTCCCTTAGCCGTAAAATCAGGAGTATAACAGCCTTCGTAAGCTTGTAATTCCATTTGTCATCATAGTGCGGGAGCTGTTATTTTTTTTTGGGGGGAGGGGCTATAGAGGCATTGTTCCTATCATTGTTCTCTCAACATATCGAGCTAGTAATGTAAGACCTTGCAAGAGCTGTTACCTAACCGCGTCGAATGGAAATAGCTTACTTATACTCTAATATAGATACCTTATGAACAACGCTGCTCGGAATTTAGTTTCTTCACTTTTACTTTTGGCCATTAAAAGAACGTTGCAATTTACCTTTGAACAACAAAGTGACAGCAATTTCAAATATTGATTAGCTGTTTGTCAGAAAACATTCAGTAACGTCCCTCAAAACAGGCAATGCATAAAAAGCGAGCTTTTCATTGTGTTGCGACCTCAGCACGTGGAATAAATAACTTGTTGTGCCTTGGGAATATTACTGACCGGGACGTCAAGATTTCGTTACTTAAAAATGCAAATTTGGAAAATAGCGAATTGAAGTAATGATGACACTTGAAGACTATGGTTGATTCGTTTCCAGCGCTTTTAATGATTTTAATTTGCTGTGTTTTAAGAATCCGGACATTTGCAACTGCAGAAGGTAAGTTTAATAAAGTAATCTAAAGACGGAAAGTTCAAAGCTAAATTTCAAATTTATGTGTTTGGAAATGTACAAATTGACTGAGTTTGAAAGAGCGAGTGTTGTATCTGTGATCTGTCTCGGGAGATCTAGTTGTCATTTAGTTGCTTATTTATTCAGCTGTTCTTTCATTCCACTTGAATTATTTCTAGATGGGCAAAGCGAATCTATCTTTGTTATAAAACTGAGACAAATAGCTCTGAAACGCATTCGAGCCTGCGATGCTTTATATTGTTGTTCAGCCGTTGAGGCGGACGGGGCATGGCCTGGGAACAAGAACTTTGTGTGGTTTAAAACTTTGAAAAGAATTCAACTGAATTTTACAAATTTAACTGAATCTGAAAGATCTCTTCTGAATATCTCATAAAGTAAAAACCTGCTTGTAAGAACCTAGTGGTTTAGGAAATATAAGAACCTGTTTAGCCAAGCAACAAGCAGGTTCTTATTTGTGGGTTACAGTTAAATTATGATAAACATTTTATCCAAGTGAGTAGTGTGACTTTGAAATTGCAAATTTCTGCAAGAAAATGCGCAATACAGTTGTGATCAATAAATACTGCATATTCAAGCACCAAACCCAAGTTTATTTATTTTTTCTGGTAATCAACAACTATATCGCCTCAGGAGCATAGTGATCGTCTTCATAAAAATTAAGAACCTACTTGGCCTAAATTGCCAATTACTTCCTCAAACTACAAGAGCCTATTTTGCCTGATTTCAAAAAATTAAGGTTTTTACACGCGGTTTTTTTTACTGTGTTCCAGTAGCCCCTCCCCAAATATCCTCAAAATAGTTATCCCGTTAGTTTTGACCTAAACATATATCCCTTATTTAGAAACCCCCGAAAGAAAAAAACCCTAAAAGTCTTTACCTACTCTACTAATTTCACTAATGTTGGAAACCAGCGTTTATTCGTGACTGTGCTTTATTGCTAAATTTCTTATACCAGGTTACGAGGAACTCACCATGAACAGATCTATAAATATTCAATGCTTTGGAAACGGCATAACCATTTTGTTAACAAAGAAACATCTTCCAAGCTTCAATCACAGCTCCTTCCACCTTAACAACAACTCATGCACTGGACACCGGCTTAACCACAGTCATATTATTTTACAAACTGGACTGAGTGATTGCGGAACAATCAAGCGAAGTTTCAATGGCTCATATATCTACGCAAATTTGGTACATGGATATCTCAATAACCCAAAAAATTGCAGCTCAAAGAACATAACTACAACCTTTGCTGTGGAATGCAAACAGCCTTCTGCACTAGCAATGAAAAACAAAACGACTTCGGAATTTGGTAAAAATTTGCCCAAAGTTGGAAGCGAAGAGGTTTATGCTAAACCGGAATCAAAGCTACAAACGATGCCGCTCCTTGCACATGAAGGTGAGTTATTGTCAAATAAAGCAACAACAACATTTATTTTATGGGCCTTTTGCAGAACCCTTGTCCATCTTAAAACGAACAGGCCGTGAAAGAAAACAGAAATAGTCGTTGAACAAAACAAAAACTTAGCAAGCATCAAATCGATAGTGGGATAACAAAAATAAATGACTTTGCCATTACGTGTTTTGATATCGTTGGTGATCTTCTGGCGGTTTGAAAGTTCGAAAAAGCCATGCTGGATGGCAAAGCTTTAGATGAAGCAATATTTTGTCCTGTTGCAAGTCTTCTCAAATTTCAAGGCAAATTGTTACATTTAATTAAGACATTTACCACTGTTTCTATTCCTGACATTCATGGCGTACTATGACTACTTTTTTATTTACAGTGTTTTTACAGGGTCCTAAAAAGAGATACTGAAAACAAATTCCAAAAATAGTTGCCATGGATGTTGTCACGTTGGAAAATCACCTGCATTTTCCACCATAAGGCTAGTCCAGTCTCTCAAATCTCTCTCATAAAAAATAATGCGGTCTTTTAGTGAAAATGTATCATTTTTCCACGTGCTTTTTTCTTTTTTCCTTACAGTATTTGAAAATTATCGAAAATTGTTTTCTTTAATGTTGCCCCCCCCCCCCGACAGGCTGATAAATTGATTTTGTGCACGCGCTCTCGATCGCTTCGTGCGCTTTTTCTAATTTCTACGTCAAATCTTTGCTTACATAACAATTGTGACTTAACACAGCGTCAGTTGAAGAAACTTCAGTTGTAAACTAACGTTCGTAAATACGTTGTTTGAAAATTGTCAACATGGGAAATTGTTTCGCAGCATGTTTGCAGCAAAAACAGAGTATTCCTGAAATTCCTCCAATTGTTGGGGAAGAAAGTACAAGTCTTTCAACAAACAAGTCTTTGAAGAGCGCAAGCGTAGCGCCGAAGAGATCGCGAAGAAACAAGAGCGCTTCAGCGACAACCTCCAGGGTCTGGAGTCGGAGAAGGACAAATCGCGTATCACCTTGTGATAGTGGCAGTGCAGGAGACGCAGGTTGCATTAACGCATCACAAGAAGGCTCACATCATTCATCTCGTGCAAGCCAGCCTTCAGATAGCTCCTGCTTGTCTGAAAGTTACGTGGGAACCTTAAGCAGTAGCTCAATCTTTGAAGAGTATTTCAGTGGCAGCTGTGAGCCGTTTGATCAAAACCAGAAGACCAGAACACCAAGCCCGTTTATCCAGCCTGGCATTACAAAGGGAAGGCTTATTATTGTACAGCCCTGTCGAAGCATGTCATCGACGTCGTACGAAGAAAATTCACCCGTGAATGTCCCTTGTGGAAGCCCAGCTAAAATACCCTTCAATGAAGAACCTGAGGCAGTGGAATCTTTGGAAGTATGCAGCTCTACGAGTTCTATTGGCTCCTGGACGGACGACCCTCTAGATATTGAGCTCGATGAGCAGAGCGAAGAGGAATCGTGCCAGGTTTTTCCGTACGCTGGAATTTAAACAATGTCTTTTGATAGCTGAGTTTGTTTTGTCAAACTCTGTGAACCTTTGCTTAGCCTGGATATAGTTTTGGAAAAGACTAAAAACTTTCTTTGGCAGACAGTGAAAATATGTTTAACGATGTATGTGTTGAGCTGAGATAATGACACTGCATAAGTACTGATGAAGGGTGAGAGAGTTGATCCCTTATTTCCAAGGAAATCCTTCTCAAGTTATTTAAGGACATGGGTGCCAGTTCTTCCGAGGAGAACATTATCACGCTCGTTGCGCGGATGTTCTCTTGGAGGATGAAAACAGAGTTGAGCCGCTTTTGCTGTTCACGTGATCAACTGCTCGTGTCAAGCCCTCCTGAGATTTCCAAATCTAGGAGTGGTCTAAAAAATAACTTTAGAGGAATTACCTTGGGAATAAAGCCAATATGGAGGATTAACTGTCTCCCCCTTTATGCTCTCTTGGACTACACAAGAAGAGCTTCCATGCTGAAGAGCATGGAACTGAGGCTCGAATCAACAGCCTCCCGGATCTGACGTCACTAGACTTCAGCCCTGAAGAGCGGAAGTACCAGTGACGTCGATCCGGAGGCGACAGGGAAACGCTCAGCACATACACTCTGGCTCCTGGACTGGTTTTCACCTGTCTATGGCCCTAACATAACGAACTGATGTCGATTTTAGAGGTTTTGTTGTAGCTAGTGACGAAG